CCAAAGAGGTGGTGGAGTCACCATCTGATGTTTTAACCAGATCGAATGGAGGAAATTCTTGAGTGAAGGGAAGCATCTTTTGTTTTGCTAAAGCATGAGAATCAAGATACAAGCCGGAACCAAAGAATCAGAAGAAACAACTATTTCTTGTCTGCTTTTTTTTTTTTTTTTTTTTTTTTTTTTTTTTTTTTCCTTTTGCCCAGAAGCTCTTTTTACTTGCTCTGGCCAGTAGTAACTAGTAACTAGGAAAAGTATTGATTTGCAGTTCTTGTGGCTCGGACTCTCAATCAATTTACAGGCCTTGAAAGCTCTTTATTTTAATATCTCCTTATAAGAATAGAATATCAGCAAACTACCAATGAAAAATAAGGGTATTAAGAGGTAGAATACATCTATATGAATGGAATTACAAGAATTTAAGATCACATGTGAGTCATCAAATTTAATGTGTTCAAAAAGAAGGAGGTGATCGATTGTAAAGTACCCCGTTGGAGATAATCTCTTCATCAGGTGGAAGCACAGAGTGATAAGACCTAATCAMGAAGAATTGGATATTTTCACATTCAGAGTACGAAAAACACTCCTACAATCTGCCTTTCCTTACTCTGCCATTTTAGAGAGGTAGTATTTGTTTTACTCATTTATTTCTCTTCAATATAATGTACTGCTGATAGATTCTAATCTATGTTTCTAAATAAACAAATTGTTAGATCATGAAATAACTAAAAATGTAAAAGTGATGTTATTATTTGTAAATGCAATGCAGTATAATAACTTCAGAAATTATAGATTAAATTTATAGAAGATATGACATGACTTTCAGAAGGGCACACTTTTTATGGTGTGTAGGTGGTACGGATTATTTTCAGGCATTTTAGCATTTCTTCTGCCATTCTGCATATTCAGCTGTTGTGTATGCAGTACATTTCTGCCCTTTATAACTGTATTCGTGTCGTTTGCTTGTAATGCAATATTTAGATAAGAAAATGGAGTCTAGCAAAATATCAGTTTCTTAAACAGATTACCTAAATTAGCCCAGCAAATGTAACTTCTTGAACTTACAGGTGTGGCGATACATATAACCATATCCTGGTGAAATTGATATCATTGTGGTCAAAATTTTGTTACATCTATGTAATTCTTTAAGTCATCTCATTGTATTTTAATGATAATGGCATTACTATCTAGATATTTTKGGGAAAAAGGACAAAGACGGAAAACAAAGTTTCAGAAGTCCTCCTATTTGTTTTAAATGTCTTTTTTAAGTGTTTCAAGTGTTTGTTTAAGTGTTCAAGTGTTTGAACATAAGGATAAGGAGCTTATGAATTAATTTACTCTAGATTGTAAGTTAAAATTATTTATCAATAGAAGTATGCAGATTTGACTTTGCTACACAGAATAAATAYGTTTTTACCTCTGCATCCATGCTACTAAACAGAGTTTCTAGAGACATTAAAATATATTACAAATCCAAGGCCATTGCAAGATTGTTTTGTTCTAATAGTGCAGCACTGGATGTTCACACAAAAGACTRGAGATGAGGCAAGAGTAAATTGTGGGAGGGGGTTGTTTGTTTATTGTCCTCTCTAGCACCACAACAAAGATGCAATGATGGAAATGCTCCCTGTGAGCCAAGTTAATTTGCACAATGTTAGGTGTAATAATTTTAAGGAGGAAAGAAGAGCATTATAAATAGAGAAAATGAAAATACTTTCCTCTCCTCATTTGCAATTGGTAGGGGAGTGGGGAAAGAGACCTAACACTTGAACAGGGAGTGGGAAAATAATCAGGATATAAAAAATAATTATAAAATTTATTTGGGGTATAACATTAATTCTTATGGAGTATTTGATGTAGTAGCTTGAGATTGTATTCTAAAATAACAGTGCAACATAGTAATTGTAGTAGACTGTGGGATATCACTTAAGGTGGTGTTCACCTCACCTAAGAAGTTGTCGATTATAATGAGATGTTTTTGCTATGCTATTCAGCAGAGCAATGACTCTCAGTGTTTGCAACATTAAATATTCAGCCTTGGATAATTAACAAAGCTGATCTAAATAGGGAGCACAGCAGATGTTGTCTACCTTGACTTCAGTGGGACTTTTGATCTCACAGACAAGCTCAGGAAGTGCAGACTAGACCCACTGCCTGGGTTGCCACACAAGATGGGTGGACAGTGAGGTGGTTTGTGAACTGGTTCAATGGCAGAGTTCAGAGGGTTATGATCAGTGGCAYAAAGTCTAGTCGGAGGCCTTTACCAAGTGATGTCCCCCAAGGATCAATACTGGGTCCAATTCTGTTGAATGACCTGGGTGTAGGGACAGAGTCCTCCCTCAGGATTCTTGCTGTTGATACAAAACTGGGAGGGGTGGCTGATACACCAAGAGTTGTGCTGCTATTCAGAAACAACCCAACCCACTGGAGAGATGGGTAGAGAGGAACTTCCTGAAGTTCAAAAATGGGAGTGCAGGTCCTACACACACGGAGGAATAACCCCATGCAACAGTAYAGGCAGGGGGTTGACCTTCCAGAGAGTAGCTCTGCAGAGCAGATCTGGGTGTCCCACGAGCTAGCAATGTAGCTCTGTAGGCAAAAAGGCCAATGGTACACTGGGTTACATGAAGAAGAGCATTGCCAGCGAGTTGAGGGATAAATTTCTCCCCTTGTACTCAGCCCTGGTGAAGACACATATGGAGAATTGTACCCAATTCTGGGCTCTACAATACAAAAGAGACATGAATGTACAGAAGCAAGTCCAGTGAAATGCAATGAAGTAACTAAAGTATCTCTCATACACAGAAAGGCTGAGACAGTTGGATTTCTCAGCATGGAGAAAACTGAGCAAAGATCTTATAGCTGGATTGCTCAACATGGAGAAAATGGAGCAAAGATCTTATCAGTGYGTACAAATACCTGATGCAGAAGTGCCTAGTGATAGGAAGAGAGGAAACCGTCACAAGCAGAAACAAAGAAAATTCCGCCTGAAAATATGGGCTTTGCATTATCAGAGGGGCTGTAGACTCGCCTTCTTTGGAGATACTCAAAAGCCATCTGGAGACACTCCCCATCAACCTGCTCTTGGTGACCCTCGTTGAGCAGAGGATTTGGACTAGATGTTCTCTAAAAGTTCCTCCCAGGCTCAGCCATTCTGTGAATTTGCATGCACCACAGAGGAATAAGAGTGAATGGAAAGAATACCAAAGTCCAAAGGTTTTGTTCTAAAACTTAATGTATGCCTTTTTTTAAAGAGAAGCAGACTACTGCAGCAAAATGTTGTTTATCTGTTGCTAGATCTGAAGGAATCACAAAATGAGTTTTATAAAGATGTAATGCTTTATGGTGCTACGTGTTTTAGCAAGTTATTTTAATCATTATTTTTATATAATAAAATTGTTACTGAGTTATTCAGGTGATACAGAAGAGGCAACAAAATAATTACTGCATTTTTTTACAGGAAAGACTTTTTAGGTCTTTTGAATAATTTCACTGGTACTCKGCTATCCATTCACTGTTGCAAGATGTTTTCTTGATAAAACTATTCTCTTATGAATAATCAWAAGTAATATGTTATAGACACATCCTAAACTCTAGGTTTTGCAAATGAAATAGTATGTTATTCTGGAGCTAAGATTGAGGCAATTATATCCATCTCCCTTAGCACTTGAAAAAGCACTTGAAATCCTGGAAAGGTTTYTTGTTTGTATATTTGTTTTCAAAAATATTCTTTATTTAGGAATTTAGTAAACTCTTAATATGCTGCCTACCTCAAATTATGGTTTCAATTATTTTTAGTACTTCTATAACTACAATAAAATCAATAAATTGCTTCACCTTTTAAGAGTGCTAGAATCTTCTGTTTCTTTCTTCATTTTTTTACCTTTTTGTGAATAACTGACTCTCTTTAGTAAAGAGGCTTTTACAGAAAATGTTTCTAGATATCCTTCTTTGTATGTAGAATTAAAGCTCTGTAATTTCCATTGTTTTATGATATTTTATACTTTGCTACAAGTACTTCTGCACTTATTTTTAAATATATATTTCTAAAAATTCTAAATTAAATTCAATATAAGCATCCTTGGTGCCCTGTGTGATATATATTAGATATTAAAAAAAGAAACAAAAATCTGATTTAATTAAAATATCCTAAATTATAAGAGAAAAGAAAAATTCTGCGCTTTATCTTGGCCCTTTTTTCTCCTGAAATTTTGACAAATTTCSTGTTATGTTTACTTACCTTTAAGTGTTATCTCATTTAGAAAAAAAAAAAAAGGAAAGAAAAACATAGCATCAAGAAAACATACAAGCAATAAATTAAGGATAAAATTAAACAATAAATTAAGAATAAAATTCTACATTATGGCAGGTGTTAAAAGAATCTGATCAGTATGGTATTTCTTTACAGAGACATATTTACTTTTTTTTTGGTATATTCTGCACTGAAATTAAATTCAGTCGAACTGAGGCTCAAAATTCTTATCAAAGATTTTTATGACGTCTTGTTATTTAACTCTCCCTCTTTTTTTTCTTTTTCTGGATTCTGTCACTTTTCCTTTATTCCCATTGGTCTTCTTTCATGAATGATATATTAGAAGGATCTCTTTCAAGCTGTTCTATTRACTTTTTCTTGCTCTGGCAGTTCTCTAGTTCAGAGGTTCAAAATGCATTGCCCTCAGGGCATTATAACTTATAGACTTTTTTAAAAAAAAATCTCTTCTCATTTGCTTTACTTCTCTTAGTGTAAGATGTACTTTAAAGAAACAGATCAACTTCTGAACATATACTTTATGTTTTAAAAAAAGTTCAAGTAAATATCCATTAAATATAGATTCTAAAAAAAAATTGCCCGTCACATCATGTTTCTGCTTATAAATCTTTTGTACATTCATTGAATAAATTAAGTAGACTATTTGTTTAAATTCTTTGCAGTACACATTGCATTGTGGACAAAGTATGGATTATTGTACCCATTATAGTTCAGATAATCAAAGACAGAAACTAGTGGTATGCATTGCCTGCTAAATAGTTGACCAGTAYACTTAATGCCCCAAATTTGTCATTATCTGCATGAAGACAAAGAAAAAAATAATTGATCAGTCCTCTATCAGAAGATTCACAAAAAAAAAAAGATGGATTTTTCTGATGTCTAGAAGGCATCACACACATATGCTTCGTTCTTATGCTTTTGTGTGATTTGGGTATGGAAAAAGCTTAATAGCCTTTTGCTACAGAACATTAGGGATGATTTCTGTGACAGGCAGCTTTCTATACCGAATTATGGGTTTGTACATTAGCATCCTACAGTTCTTTGTTTCTCAGCAAGTGGCAAGGCTGATGTTCACTAAGAAGGGTGTTTCAGGAAGAGAGACTGTTTTCCAAATGACGGGGTGGGAGGGGTGGAAATAACCAGACACAAAGGGAAAGAACTGCTGTGTTTACTATTAATATCAAATAATATAGGAATGAAATAATACATACAATGAAACAATGAGCTTACTATGCRCCAGGTTGTAACTGCAGATGAAATAACCAAGGCAATGTACTTAACCATTACTATAAGAGAAAGAGAATAGTGATTAAGAAAAAGGATACATCATCAATTGCCTAAATACCATCATCCATATCCGCAGTCGCTGGGGAGCCCCTGTTACATTGAGGATTTGCAGAGCCTTCCCGGCAACTGGGAGGTCTTACGTGGTGCGTCCACCCATAAGTGAGGTCTCCAAAGYCGCTGTAAGACAGTCCAGCTTTATAAAACCAAATTAGCAAATCAGCATTTTCTTTGTTAGCGGTAATATCTGGTATGTCCTACTTTCACAGAATCACAGAATCACAGAATATTTAAGGTTGGAAGGGACCTCTAGAGATCATCTAGTCCAACCTTCCTGCTCAAGCAGGCACACCTACAGCATGTGACACAGGGTGGCATCCAGGCGGGTTTTGAAGACCTCCAGAGAAGGAGACTCCACAACCCGCCTGGGTAGCCTGTTCCACTGATCTGTCACCCTCACAGTAAAGAAGTTCCTCCTCACCTGGAGASGGAACTTCCTGTGCTCCAGCTTATGGCCATTACCCCTCGTCCTATTGCTGGCCACCAGTGAAAACAGCATCTGGCACTGGGACCTGACCAGAGCCCCAGTTTTGGATGGCCAAGCTCCCTTCAAGGTCAAAAATGCTTGCCTGAGAGACTACAAAAGTTACAATTTGATGAGCCTAYATGCAGGTCAGCAGAAGCAATTTACAGGCAAGTTCTGTGTGCTTSTGAAAAAGTAGAGCCATACTCAGCTCTAAGCCAACCCAGACTTGGGCCTATAGTTCAGGCCCAGCAGTTCAGAGACATGTATGTAAACATCATAGTCAGAGGCAAGAAGTGGACCATCTGTGAGRCCAGAGGCTTTGCTGAAGGAGTTTCTCTTCCCCTCCCCTCCATTTTTCGGGAGGACATTTCAATAAAAGATGATATTAACTTGACCTATTTCTGTGAAGATAATTTATGTCCAGTTCAGAAAGAATTTGACCAGCTAACTATAGTAGACCACATTTTTCTAATGTCTTTGGTTAGTTAAATATTACACAGTGATCCTCAGGCAATTGCATGTCTTAGATGTTTCAACAACACTTTCTTTAAGTTGCTTTTAATTTTGTCTGTGTCTGTAGAACTTGAGCCATATGATAGTTTAGTTAAATTGTACTGCAGAAAGGGAAGACTAGGAAAGTCTATTTTTTTCTATAAAGTAAAAAATGGAGAGAATATATCCTTCCATCTATTTCAAAACTCTCTTCCACCTTTCACATTTTCCTGAGGCATGAAAAAAAAACCCAACAAATTTTTCCTAAAATAAAAGGAAAATTTCACTTTCTACTTAGAAATCATTTGAAAATGAACATTTTGCTTTATTGCATATTCATGTTTCTGGAACAATCAGGAGACATTCTTAATTCCTTGAGACCACATCCAAAGCTGCAAGAGTCTTTTATGCCACAAGTAACATTTTAATTAAGAAACCACAGTAAGAATACTATTCAAATTATATTTTTATTTTACTTTTCTGTCTCAAACAAATGAAACTGAATAATAAAATCTAAGAATTGTTTTAAAAATTATGAAAGCATACCCTAGCTTCTTCCATAGCCTTGACTTAAGCATAGTTTTACTGTTTACTTTTTAAAGTGCTTAGTGCTATACATCATACTAAGGAAAATATGATCTTGTCATGAGCAGTCAAAATAAATGGCACAAATCTGATACAAGCTGCACCGGGTAACCTGCAGACCTCTATAAAATAGAGCAGTACTCTTTTATTCTTTCTCATTTCAATTTAATGGTTGGATGACTGTATATTACATGACATGGTTAACAATGGTGAATGAGTGAGGATTTTTGTGAAGAATGCAGTTGAATAGGAGGTCAATTTATTTTTGCCTTGGACGTCAAATACAATTGAGTTTTCACAGTTCAAAATCAGTATAGCAGAAGCAGACAGGTTCAGGCAGGAGAGCAAGAGCTCYGTGTAGTATGCTCTCCTATGGAACATTGAGCTAAATGAGCCAAAACTGGTGATCCAGTAAGAACTTTTGAAATCAGAATTGGGAAATGCAAGTGGGGACATGAGACATGTAATACTGTTGAGATTTGTTATGTTTTGTGCACATAAATATGCTCTAAAACTAATAAATATTCCTTTTAAACTTGAGACTATCTCTGTACCTGCAAATACAAGGTACCAAAACATATGTGGTGTATCATATAAAACACAAAATAAGGTGGTTGAAGTCCCCCTGGTTCTCATGAGAGACTTCAACCTTAGTCCTAGGTGAGTGGTTTGTGGTTTGCATGTGTGCATTTGTTCTTGATAGCTGGTTGTTGACAGAAGTGTTTAATCTTTTTTTTTTTTTTTTCAGTTGTTTCTAATAAAACCTTTCTGGCTGTGATTTACTCACAGGAGGAATATATGTCCAATGTTTTCAAAAGCACATACTGTTTCGTAAAATGGTTCCAATGTATTAGTGCAAGCAAGTTTTCTGCTGAATTGAAACCAAAATAGAATCAATACCTATTCTTTATATTTAATACCAATAAAGTAATAGTTTGTATTTTTACTGGAGTGTTGTA